GAGCAGGGGAGGGACAGAGAGAGAGGGAGACACAGAATCTGAAGCAGGCTCCAGGCTCTGAGCTGTCAGCACAGAGCCCGATGCGGGGCTCGAACTCACAAACTGCGAGATCATGACCTAAGCTGAAGTCGGATGCTCAACCGACCGAGCCACCCAGGTGCCCCAAATTTTTACATATTGTTAATAAAAGACATTTTAAATTATGAGTGCATATTACCCAAATGTTAATTACTAAAATAAATGGCCATAAACACCCAACCAGATGATTCTAGTTGTATACTGGGAAGATCAGCACTGCTACTGAGACAGAATCACGTACATCAAAGGTCATTTCAGTATTAGTAATTTGTACAATTATGGAATAAACATAAGGATATGGAATTAGAAAACTATACATTTAACTCTATCACTAATTAGTTTTCAAGGATCCCTTAACATTGCATCGATATACAAAGAAGAAAAAAAAAAAACAAGAAAACCTCAAAAAACATAAACAAACCAAAACCAAAACCAGAACCAATCCCAAAACACTAAGAACCTCTATAAAATATATTATTTTCATTATAACTGTTCAAAAATAGCTAATGTAGTACCATATTTATGATTTTTATATTAAAGATTATTGATGAAAAGGGAAAAGTGAAGTATTCAGATATTTCCCCAACTCCAGATATTTGACAAGACAGGGTAAATACAGAATATTAACCTGACAGAGATTGCAGACAGATAGTTTCCAGTTCTGCCTCCTTGATCTCCTTTCCAAATGTATCACAAGCATCTCAACATGTCCAAAAGTGAATTCCTGATCTCCCCACAAGGGTTCCTCCCTAGTCTTCCCAATCTCACAAATGGCACCCGAATCCATTCAACTGCTCAGTTAGAAAACTGGGCCTCATCCTCAGACATGCCCCACATCTAAGTGCCACTTATCAGTAAGTAGCATCAACTATACCTCCAACATATAGCTCTGCTCCCACTCCTGCTCCTTCAATGCATTTTTTTCACAGCAGCCAAATGATCTTCTCAAAATGACTAATTTGATCATATCACTCCCAAGCTGAAAATTTTATAATAACTTCTCATTGCACTTGAAATAAAATAACAAATCTTAAAATACAGTCAACAAGGCTGTGCATGATCTGGCCCTCCTAACCTTGACAACATCATTTCATGTCACACATTATCCTATCATTAAACACCAGTCATGATTGACTTCTTACAGTTCCTAAAAGGTATCAAGATCTTTCCTATTTTAGAACCTTCATACACACACTTTACTTTTGTCTGGAGGCTCTCGTCCACTCTTTATGTGTCTAACTCTTATTTTTCTTTTTCTTTCAAGGTTTATCTTAAGTGGCACTTCCTTAAAGAAGTCTTCTTTGACCCTTTATTTAACTGGCCACTTTACAATCTTTTACATTCACATTAGCATATTTCCCAATTTAAATTATAGGTGTTTTCTAAATCAGGCTTTCATCTCTTTGAGCAAGAACTATTCCTACTTTTTTTGTGAACCTCCATTTTCACCCTCTGTGCCAGGAACATAACAAATACTTAATATTCTTTGAATTATTGGAAGACTAATGAAAATATCTAGTTAGCTCTGTATTACACAAACATAATCAAGGCTAGTTAGCCCAGTTGGCAAGAGAGCTGATGCTGACTGTAGAGAGTGCCTACATGCTCAACGAAGGGCAGATAAGGACCTGTGAGCACGTGTCAAATTTTAAATGATCTGGGGTGCCTGGGTGGCTCAGGCAATTAAGCATCCAACTCTTGATTTCGGCTCAGGTCATGATCTCATTGTTTGTGAGATCCAGCCCCGAGTTGTGCTCGTGATGACAGCATTGAGCCTGCTTGTGATTCTCTCTCTTTCTCCCTCTCTCTCTCCCCCTTTCCTGATCTCTCTCTCTCTCTCTCTCTCTCTCTCTCTCTCTCTCAAAATAAATAAATAAACTTAAAAAAAATGTATGCTGTGGTGCCTGGGTGGCTTAGTCGGTTAAGCATCTGACTTCAGGTCAGGTCATGATCTCGCAGTTTGTGAGTTTAAAACACTTTAAAAAATAAATTTTTACATGTTCTGGAGCATTTTGGCTCTCCTAGTTAAGTTGAATCATGACACAAGCTCAATAACAGGGCTGATTTCATTTTGCCTTGCATTAAAGTTACTTGAGTTTATGTATTTTTCTCCTGTGAGAACTTTCTGATTCTTTCATCAGAATCACATCTGATTCATCTTCATCTTCCCTTTCCACAGTATGAGTCAAACATTGGTAGAAATAAATTTTAAATACATCATCATTCAAAAGGAAAGAACTATAAGGTGCCAAGTGAAGTTAACATGGCAAAGTATCATCACCTTTAGTGCAGAACCTAATTTAATTATTCCATTTGCTGATTTAGCACTTCCAGTATTTTAGGCATTGGGAAAGGCATTAGGAATTTAAACTCTGACTAAAACCATGTCTTTTTTTGTATGTCAGTAAATTTTGTATAGAAAAACAAATCTCCATCAGTGACCTCTGTATGGTGACAGTACAAAAATGTATAAGTGACTCAACATAATTTGAACAGGAACAACAGGCCCACAACCCTCTATAGGGATGGGGCAGAAGTCTGCTTTCTGGGATGAAGGTTAGTTCTAATATTTTCCTGGTTCTCCACGTCTGAGTAAACCAAACCTATCATTCATATGCCATGCACCTTTGGGTTATTGCCTGGGTATTCTTGGTGGATTATGCTCACCTGTCCCCATTTCCACCTTTCTATGTCCCAGGGCAATTCCTGCCCTACTCCGGGCTCACAGAAGAAAACAATTCAAACTGAGGAAGCTCGCCAGAGGGATTCCTAGTACCAAAGGTAAAGACCCCCAAAATCTGTTCCTGATAAAATTTAAGAGTTTTGGCCATGGATTCCCTAGAACCTTGAAATGCTCTGCTGAGCAGCTGGAGGTCATCTAGTAACTGGGCTAGCAGGAGGCCAGTTAATGGATGCTAATACTTTGCTGAGTGCTTCAAACCGGTATTGGCTTTAGGGCTGTGCTAAATAATTGCTGTTAATTGAATTTAGAAATACCTACCTGTTACTCATAAATAGTATATATTTTTAATAGAAATAGTGTAATGCTGAAATTATTTATCTTTGAAGCACCTTGCAAATATGATGTTAGGAAATGTGTAGGTTACAAAGTCTTTTCTTTCATACTGTTAGGATGTCCTTGGAACCACAGTAGAGGGGACGCCCATCTTGCCAGCTCAACCCAACGAAAAGCCCCTAGTAGCGTGCCAGAACGAATGGAGGTCAACCAATCACCAAACGACAGCATGACCTGATGGGAAAAAGGCCCATCTGGATCTAAACCCTGAACCACTGCAGCTTAAAAACCCCACCCCACCACACCTGGGCGCGACTTCCCTGACTTCTCTCTCTCTCTCTCTCTCCCTGAGTCACAGAACCTCGCCTGAGACCTTAGTTCCCGATAAAGCCTTTGACTCCTAAAATTTTTTAGCCTCTGACTCTTATCTTTACCCTGCCTTACGCCTGACCCTAACACATACCACCAGACATTGTGGTAAGCAAATGCCTTACTTCCCCCCCCCCCCCAGATTTAATTATATGATTTTAACGCATTTGAATTTAGCCCAAGAGTGATCTTTATTTTCATTACATTATCAAGCAATTATAGCAAAGTCTGAGGCCATCTGTAGTAAAGAATACTACAAATAGCATGTATTTATATAGGTAATATTTGTTTGGCAATCAATGTGGGCCAGCCACTATTCTAAATATTTTACATGAAATGGTTCATCTAATCCTCACATTTCTAGGGGCAAGTACTATTACTATCTGCATTTTGTAGATGAGAAAATTAAGGCTCAGAGAGGTTAAGTGATTTGCTTAAGGTCAAACAACTAGTGAGGTGCTTTGGTAGGTCCTAACCTAGACACTTTGACTCTGCAGGCTACACTCCACCAGCAAGGTTTAGTTAAATGTTAAATTCTCATAAACCCTGTGGGAACGATACTACCATTATGATCCCAATTTAATAATGAGGGGATTGTTCCAACCAATATCACTCTGCTAGTAAGTGGCTGAACCAGACTTTTACACTCAGTCCCGTCTGATTCTTGGGTTTGAGATCTTAAATACCACCCACCAGTGCCGTTACTTATTTCCTTTTTAATCCCATTTAACATTAGAGATTAAGTAGATTTTAAGGGAAATAGAAATAATTACTCAAATAATATACTAACTATCCAGTCATAATATTCTAAAAATATTTAAAATACTGTTAAGGCAATTATTGGATTTTTATAAAATATTTGAAATACTGTTAAGCTAATATTAAATGTCATCATTCTGAAGAGAACCCAAATGACTATTCTTAAAAAAAATTAATATAATGATTCATCTCACTGTTTATGTGATTCCCCAGGGTAACTACAATTACCTCAGGAGATTTGGGAGCCTTTAAAAAAATAAATTTTAACTTACTTTGACTATTTCAAAGATAAAATGTTATGTAGTATTTTTTGGGTATAACACATGAGAGTATTATAAATCAAAACAAATCACAACAGTATTATAAAAATATAATAACTTATTTCAGGATAGACCAGTTTAATCATTACCATTCATATTACTATTTTACTAAATGAAGAGTCACCATTTATATCTTGAATATTAGAAAGAATTTATATGCCAGCCAAATCATGATGATCAATAAGATTAAAAATTTATAGAAAAATATAAATGGTTTATATTTATAAGGCCATTGCTTATAAGGCCATTCCTACATAAATCTGTCCTTTCTTTCTCTGAGTTCATATTAAGCGTATTGATTTCCTTGACCTTCTGTAAAAACCACTATTGCAGGACTTCAAATCTCTAGGTAAGCACTGAATGTCAGAACATAAAAGAAGAGACTACATCATAGGTGGATTATGGCATAAATTTTAGTCAAATGGTGTCATATTGTGAGTCATTTATGTTTTTATTACCTTTAGGTCCTTTGAACAATTTGATTTCCACGACAGTCTCCAGAATGGGGCGTCTTCTACGCACGTACAGCCGGACAATAGAGCCCGCTTCTTTGAGGGCTTCCACGGCCTTACTGTGGGAAACCTCTGACACATCGACCTCGTTCACCCGCAAGATACAATCATTGACCCTGAAAGAAAGGGAAAGAGGCAAAAGTTAGGGGTGGCTAGGAGGATTTCTTAAAGAATATTGTCATTGTTAGCTACCCTTAAGAAGTGGGGGAGTGAATTAAGCAATTTTAAAATTTTATATTCAGAAGAAACAATTCAAATGAAATGAAGAACTCCCCAGCCTTCCAGGCATTTCCGAAAGGACTGCACTATTGGTCAAACCCCATCCGGGATTCCAGTCCATTGGGACAGGGAGTGCATTGCACATGGTACAGTGAGAAGGGCACATTTGAAGGCCTTTGTCAGTCATGTAATTATTTTGATTGGTTTTAACTGCTTAAACTGAGGGTTATGATTGCCGTGGTTCTCAGAACTTACTATGGACTATACAGACATAGCAAATGTAACCTTATAGATTAATTTTTCTTGAACTTTTAATTTGCTAGTTATACAGGTAATATGTAGTCATTTCTGAAAATTTGTAAAATGTAACAATGTAGAAAGAAGAAAATATATACATGACCCGATCATCTAAAACAAAACTGTTAGCTTTCTGGTAAATTATATTCCGGTGTTTTTTCTTTCCCCCTCTAGTTTATAAAGCAGTATTATAGATATTAAAGTTCAAATTTCACAAAATTCAAAGAAAATCTCAGATAATCTTTACCTTAGGTATTTACTTTGAAAACCAAGCATTATGGTAAGTTCTGCACTAAACTCTCCTTTTTGCCATTTTCTCTTGGGAAGGAATAATTTGACTTTTCTATAAAGCTGTCCAATGTTTTATATTTACATGCCCATGGACTTCAAATCTCTTTTATAGTTATGATAATTAGTTTAAATTTTAATAATAGTTAAAAGTGTGAGGCTTGAGACTAGAAAGACTTCCTTCCTTTGTTCTGAATATCCATTCTAGCATTTCCCATCTCACTTTACCACGTTGCTAAGAGTAAAAAATATGGGCCTGCTCTTGCTTGACTTCCCTATCCTGTAACCACCACACATTCAGGTCTCCCTGCAAAGTATACCTCCCATTGCATCCAGGTTTCTTCATCTGTACTGTTACCATCCCGGTTGAAGTCAACATCATCTCTCACCAAGATTATTTGTATGGCCTTCTACCTACTCTCCCTGGATCCTCTCTTCTCAATTTTTAATGCATTCTCTACATGGTAGCCAGGGTAAAGCTAACACAATTGGTTGCTTACCAACCTTCCATTCCCATTTCCTTCTTCCCCACAGTGCTTGATGTCTCAGGACATCTATTGCTTAGCAAATAGTTGTTAAAGCAATAAAATAAGAAGCCTAAGTTCAATTATTAGGCCTTCCATACCCTAAGTTTGTAAACACTGATAATTAGCCTCTCATCCTCTATGTTCACATCAATAAATAAATACACTAGTAATATCTACAATAAAGACTTTAGGGGTGATTAAATGAGATAATGTACATGTAAGTCTTTAGCACAGACTATGGTATGTAACCAGCACCTAATAAATGGTTATTGGTAGCACTGAAAATTTTGACTTGTAATATTTTAATTATTAGATCCTTTTCATAAACTTGTAGAATAAGACTTACCATCCACATTATAGAAATGAGAATTGTTCCAAGCAGATCAAGTTCTTTGTCTAAAGCTGTCAGCAATTTGGGTAGACATTGGATATGATCTGAGGTGTTCCTATTTCAAAAGTTGGGCTCTCTCCTCTCAGGATCACATTCACCTAATGTGATGAACAGTTTCATGTATACCGTGCACATCAATTCAAAATTATAACACGGTAGTGAAAATATGTAAAAAGTATGGGAAGAATTTTTCTATCATTTTTTCCCATAACTCTTCTATATGTGTTTGGGGAGCTGAGTTATAGAGACTCTTGTCTCAATGACAACCCTGATTAACCCCAAAATTCTGAGGTGTAACATTGCACTTATTAAGATTCAGTCATGTCATTTCATCATAACAGATGCTATGGCTTTAATAGGTTTGCACATACATTTCCTCTCTGCCAAAAAAAAAAAAAAAAAAAGGAAAAAAGGAAAATTACCAATTAAAATAGTTTCGAGAATGTAGGCAACACGGGTGCCAGCCGCCCTACAGCAGCTGGTCCTTTGAGAGTGGATAATTTTGTCATCTCATGATAATGCAAACACATAGTGTTTACCATCATCCTATGCTCAGAATATTAATCATATCTTAAAACACTGCTTTCCATAGGAGGGAGGGGCTGGCATTTAAAAAAAATTCTGGATGCTCTATCTATTCAAACTGTACTAAATTTTTCCTTTCGTATATAGTGGAATCCTTAATTGTCAATTGCTGGGGTGAGGAAATCAGAGCCTAAATTAGATGTTTTTTTTTCCTGAACATGTGGAGGAAGTAGGCAACTTTAGTGCAGTGAAAAGAGCATCAGAGTAGCCTTCAGAACACTTGGATTTGAGTCCCAGCTGGGTGACCATGGTCAAGTCGCTTCATCTCTTTGAACCTCAGTCTCCATGAAAAGAAAGTAAGTGTGCCCAGAGTTAATGGGTAGAGTAACCAGACAGACAGTGCACATGGGCGTATGTGTGACCTGTAGTATACAGTATATATGAGAGCTGCCGCTATTGATCAGTGAGTCAACGATGCTGTGCTCAAGGACTTACTGAAAGGTGAACAAGATGGATATGGAAATGTTTTTAGAGAGAGGGCCTGCTGTGTGCCATATCATTCTAGTCACTTCATTTATTTACTGGTACTTAACCCCAACCACTTATGAAATATTGATTCTCATTTTACAGACAATGAAATTTACTGACAAGGTCACAGTGTTGTTGAGGGCAGGGACATCATTCCCAACCTGGTTTTGCCCTTTTCTGAAGCCTATGCTGATACCAAGTTCCCAGAATTGATTGTTGTAAATTAAAAAAAAAAAAAACAAAAAGTGTGTGAGGGGCAGAGTTTATATATTCAAATTCTCAAAATATAGAGGAATGAATATCAAGGAAAACTAGGGCACCCAACTTCCCTTCTTCCCCATCATTTGAAATAGCATCTGGCTAGAGAGTCATAGCTATTTAAAATTAATTTGCTTTTACTACTAGTAGATAACCTTTGTGAGTAAAGCCACCACTTGCATTCATTTTGAAACATACATATATCATTAACTTCAAATTCAAGTAATGCTTTGTCCAAATAAAAAGTACAGCTTTTGTCACATTTCTGGTATGTGTTAGAAAACATTTCCTCCCCACTCTACTCATGTAAATGAGTTGATGGTTTCATTTTTTCAGCGCTTGTTGTTTCAAATATAAGTACAATATTCATTTCGTGAAATGAAACTGTCCAAGATTGAAAGGCTAATTTTAATATTTTTCCTGCCTCATTTTCTTTAGAATTCTGGTGCATATCCTTGCAGAAAATGTCTTAGAAATAAACAGAACATTTCATCATTAACATGTCAACAGAATCACACCTAAATTTTCCATTAAGCAATTAAGTATTCTGGAATATGATATAGGATCACTGAAAAGCAAACTAATACCTGACAAATTATGTTCCAGTTTAAGGATACAATTGAAATAACATGTGTTACTTACTCTTTCATAGGTATTAAAATGATGTTCTGTTGTAAAATGAGCTTAGTGACTTTATACATTTGTTTTAGAATGTCAGTTCCTTAACAATGGTCACCAAATGCTTGTGTTAAAAGTAAAAATTCCTGTTCATTATGCATTTAAAAATACTGAAAGGAAAGATAAGTTTTTAGCTCTTGTTCCTTGTGGATGTAGATAGAGCTTAAAGATTTTTTTTAATGTTTATTTATTTGTTTTTGAAAGAGACAGAGTGTGAGTGGGGGAGGGGCAGAGAGAGAGAGGGAGGATCCAAAGCTGGCTCCTGTGTTGCAGACACAAAGCCTGATGCAGGGCTCCATGTAGGGCTCAAACTCATGAACTGTGAGATCATGACCTGATCAAGTCAGATGCTTAACCAACTGAGCCACCCAGGTGCACCGAGATTACTGATGTTTTAAAAAGCATATTTCTACTTTTGTGTTTCTTCCCAAGTTCTATAATGGACATATATCACAGCAGAGAATCTATGAGCAATGGGCTTGGGGGCCTTGCCACACTCTGATCCACCTGGGTCATGTCCCAGCTCTAGAACTTAGGAGCTATGTGGCTTTGGGCAAGTCACATGACATCTCAAAGGCTCAATTTCTTCATCTGGAAATAGGGATAATAAGATTGCTGCATGGATTTAGATGAATAGTACTGTGAATTGTACAGCGCCTGACAAACAGTAAGGTATTATACTCATGAAAAAGGGATAAGCAATTTGCCTAAGAAACGTAAGAAGTGATTATAGTGGAGGAAAGAAGCTACAAAAGGTAGAGGAAGGGACAGAACTATAGTCAAGACACTGAAAATGTTTTTGAAAATTTTTATGAGAAAGGGAGGAAGAAATAAGATGAATGGGGTTTGGGGGGATGAAAAATGTGAAACTAACAGTTTTCAGTAAGTCTTATTTTATGAAATTTAATGTAATTCCCCTTTAATTTTACTCCTCAGCTGCCCCCAAGAAAATAGTTGTTTTGATACAACCTATATCTTTATGGAAACTGTGGTGAAAGCTTCTAAAGATCAGCACTTGGTAGATTTCCCACCACCTTGTGCCTCTCTGTCCTTGCCCCACTCCACACATCTAATGATACCCAGTCATACACAGACCCTAGCAAGACTTGATTCAAAAGTATGTTTTAAGTCACAGAGTCTGAAACTTAACTTTGCAGCAGCTATTTTTTTTTTAAGTTTATTTTGAGGGAGAGAGAGCATGCACACACATGAGTGGGGGTGGTGGGGTGGGGGACAGGGAGAGAGAAAGAGAGAGAGAGAGAGAGAGAGAGAGAGAAAGAATCCCAAGCAGGTTCTGCACTGTCATTGAGGAGCCTGACTTGGGGCTTGAACTCAGGAAACGTGAGATCATGACCTGAGTCAAAATTGAGTTGTAAGCTTAACCAGCTGAGCCACCCCGGTTCCC